CGGCTCAGCTCCTCAGCGAAAACCTGGTATGCATTGCACCTGCTGCCTTATTATACTCACGCTGTGATCAGCGGCAGTTTAGTTTACACTCTAAGTAGATTGGTCTATCGAAGTGATATCCCAATTCGTCTGTTACCGACGTGATGTCTCCGTTCCCTCCTTCAGGGAACGAGGGTTACCATGCGTAACCGAGACGTTATTTGGTAACGAGTGTTCAACATTCAACCCGTTCTTTTTCATCAGTATTATTTGTGATTTGAATTTTGTGAATGGGAATTCCTCTTTTGCTGTGTTATGAGCCGGACTTTGGACGCTTTCACTTTCACTTCCGAATTTGCGATCTTGGTGTCACATTTTACAAGAAAAGATAATTGTCTGTTTTGCTTATATCTACACAACTTTCACTTTTTAGGACTAAAACAAAAAATGGATTCATTGTTATTCTTTATTAAAAAGCACAACAACAATAAAACAGTAGGCTATAATGACAAACTAGCTTACATAACGTTTATTAACAAAAACGAATGCGATGAGGCATGGCTCCACATGCTATATTATATACTGATTAATAAATTAAGCCTCCATAAGGTAACGTGAGGTAAACAGCAAAGATAAGCTTTTTAAAACGAAAACAAAAAGAAAAGTGAAACTAAACTGGCTGTCGGTGACAGGACTTGCATGTGTTTTTTTCCCACAAGAATACCAACATGTTCAACTTCTCTGGTTTATGAAGCGGTCTTTTATTTTATTTTAGTGTGAAAACCAAATCCACCGCCTTCCATTATTTCCTCAATATTCATCTGCAGAACATGGGGTGTAGATGGGTGGGTTTAGGGATCAGGGGGTGGAGACGGGTAGGTTTTAGGTATATGTAAGGTGGGAGGCGTTGGATCTGGATCCAACCATGCCCCCTAGATCTTGTGTTCTGCAGTGAGGACCATCTCCGCACCTTCGTGCTTGTGCTGATACGGCAAGTATAAACCAGGCTCTACACCTGAAGCATTCGCACTGAAAGCCCCTCTCTTCACGTGATCAGTGAAATCTGACTCCTGCTACATTGTGCCTCGCTGTATGCAGCAGACGCTTTGAAGCAAGGTAGAGCATGCACTCGCACAAATGCGACCACGTCAAATTTGAGCTTGCACATTCTCAAAAAATTGTCACAGTCTATATGCGGATGTCACTCCCGAAACTTTACAGCGTGCAGCTGTCAGTGGTCCAACAGCATCATGAAAAACAAATTTATTCAAATTCTGAATGAATTAGCCAAGAAAGCATGCTCTGCGCTCCCTATAATAATTATAAAGCTGTAATTTATTTCAGTTAATTGCGATCTCACAAAAATCCATTATAATCAATGAGGCTCGACCATAGGAGTAGTTTAGAGAGACTGAATCTTAGAACTGTTTTGAACAAATCGTTTGAGAATCATTGGAAAATGAGGTGATATTAAATGCATATTTTGAGAAAATGAAAGGGTTGTTTGACCTTGCATGCATGTAAACCTATTGTAGGAGACTCCCAAACCAATACTAGGAACCTTAGAAATAATAGGGGGCAAAATAGGGGC